ATTCTCTTCTACAGCCATGCAATGTAAAGTAGTAATGCCTGCCACGACCAGCTGGAAGGCTATATATACAGGTACACTTACATAAAGCCTTTCTCCCCAAGATCCCCAAATGCCTAAAGTTGCTCCTGCCCTCTTTTTTTCTCCCGCTCCCTCTATAAGGATGATCCTGGGGCCCAAGTTAGTTGCTCAATGGGCAAATGTCATTTTCAACCATGGGGCTTGTCCCAAGATGTCTCCATGACCCAGTTCTGACACCTGTAGACCCTGCCCGTAAAACATGGGTCCAGGTTTTTCTGAGACTGGGGAAAGGAGGCTTTATCCTTTTAGGCATTGACCTCGAAGCTTCTACTAATTAGTGGCTGGGCCACAAGCAAGATTCTAGTCTTTAAACAGCTTTCCTGGTATATATCCTATAGAATAAATCTTCAGAGTGCTCCATGATTAAAGGGCTTTATGGTCTTAAATAAGATCCACTTCTTCGAGATAGAACATGTAAATGCCCTTAGAAGGGCTTCACATTAAACTTCTTCCTAGTCAAAGGTTGTTGAGTATAAATGTGCAATTCCTGCAGGATTTATTCACCTCTTGGAGAGTTGTAGTGTAGCACATTAGCTTGTTTCAGGCTCTGAGAAGTTCTGCTGTTAAGAAATCTGATTAACACAGCCTCTGCCAGCTCATGATCACTTGACACCCCTTTTAAGGCAACTGTTGATCTGCTAGAGGAACTAGTGTTCTGTTAAATACAGTAGGGGAAATGTTTGAAATCTCCTTCAACCAGCGGGTTGGATTTCTAAACATGTGTATAGCTAAAGACATATCACTTTCCATAGTAGCGGAGGGCAAGGAGCTAATTCAAAACTTCAGTTTTTCCTTCTGTTAGCAAGGCTAGTCTCACTTTTTTGTTGTTGTTGTTGCAGCTGGCTGGTACAGGAGTCTGAACCCATGACCTTGAGGTTATAAGGCTGTGCTCTAACCAACTGAGCTAACCAGCCTGTACTCCTTTTTTTTTTTTTTTTTTTTTTTTTTTTTTTTT